GTGGGGGTGAGGCTATCAGGCCCCGGATTCAGACTGCTCATTGTCTCATGTCTGTTCTGTTCCTCCGTCACCTTTTTTTCTCAAGCGGCCAGAGGTCATGGAGGGGGAAAGGCTTCCTATTACAGTGACCTCCGCTGAACTCTTATAACTTTTTCCTCCTTGCAGAGGACTAGCAGCTTAGCAAACTAGAACTAGCAGAAAGATGGTGGTCTTACCATCTTAGGCAGCAAACAAGCATATGGGATTTTAAAAAAAAAGATAGGTGGGGATGGCAAGACATACTCACTGCCTTTTCCAACAATTGTACCCTCACGTTGAGAATTGGGGAGGGGGGGGACTCAGCACCATAAATTAGGAAGGAAGGGGCTTCAAAGTGAGATGCAGAAGAACCAATGAAGGAACAGGGAGACAAAGAATAAAATATATATTATTATCATCGGGGCAGGCTTGGGGAGGGGAGCGGGAGAGGGGCGGATAAGAGGAACACGCCTGGCTGGGTCTTTTGCCAGAACAGAAGCTAAAAGCAAAAACCATATTATTCTAGTCAGCTTAAACTCTTGAGGCTGGGAGGGGCAAGGGAAGGGAAGGAAAAGAGAGGGGAGGGGGGGGCGAAATAAATGTATTTTTCATCAGCAAGTGTATCATTTATAAACAGCATTAAACAGTTTGTGTTTTCTTTTCTTTTTCCTCCCTCCCTCCCTCCCTCCTCTCTTGTCTCCTGTGGATGGGGTTTGGCCGGCTCTCAAGCCTGCATTAATTTCTGCTCTGGGTACAGTGTGTTCTTGGATGCGCATCTGCCAGTGATCATAAACTCTATGGAATGCTGGCAGAACATCCAGACCTGCCGGCAAGCCGATGACATCACTCTGGGAATAAATTCGGGACAGCGGCCAGAATTCGAGGCGGCCGGCCGGGAGGGGAGAGAGGGGAAGACGAGGAGAGGCAGGAGGAGGAGGGGCCACCCTAAATAACAAGATCACTTCCTTTTCATGTTTTTTTTTTAAAAAATCATGTTGATATAACTAATCGGTCAGAGAAAAACAATGAAAGAGTGTTCCGTATAATGCTAAGCAACTGAGTAGGTTTGGGGGAACAACAGCAAATAAAGAATTCAGAAGTTTGTTTGTTTGTTTTTTGAAGAGTGGCTGGATATGTGTCACGGAATGTGCACAAACATTCGTATTGCTCTGGGGAAAGTGACAGTGACTTGAAAAATAATTTCAGCATGTTATTTCCAAGGAATCTTGGAAGTGGCAGGCTGAAATTAATAAACTGACATTAAATTCATAAAACTCACCTGTTGTCTACTTTGTTACTCAGCCCTCTCCTTGCAACCTCTAAAAACTTCATGCCTGCATTTGGGGGGGGGGGGTAGAGGAGATGCCTCCTCAGTCCTTCCTTGGAAAACTCTGCAATCTCCCCTCCATCCTCCCAAGTGCAAACTCACTTCTTTACTTCCTTTATTTATTGCATTTCTATCCCACCTCTCAGCTGGTGAGCGCAAGACGGTGTAACCTGGCTCTGCTCCTCTCCACTTTCAGCCTCACAACAGCCCTACAGGGAAGGTTAGGCAGCGAGAGAACGTGGCCAGTCTCGTGTCTCCCCGGTACATCTGATGGCTACATCCATGGAAGAACAGGCATTCCCTCACATGCCCAGGTTAACAAACAGGTGTGTGTTCTTTGGGTAGCTGTAATTATTCCTGGTGTTTATGAAACAGCTGCCATAAACACTGCCATGGGAAAGCACACCTCCACAGCCTTTCGATGTAAAGACAAGCACAGGGCTATGTTATTGGAGAGACATGCATTTTCTTTTTCTCTCCATGTGCTTCTCTGCTGGCTACATTTCCCAACAATGCAGCCTCCAAGTTCCATGCCCTTCCCACGTCATTGTCAGCCAGCCTAGCAAAAGCACTGTAGAATGCCCATATTGCTTCTTAAGTCCAACCAAGAAAGGGGAGAAGAGGTCTGTTTTGAGTCATTTGATTTAATTATCCCTTTCTCAGCAACAAGCAGGAACGTTGGCAAGTCTTGAGGTCCACATGCCTGGTCCGAGTCTGAATCTTTGGTACCAAGTCCCAAGTCTGAGTCCCTATGAAAAACAAGCTTTTTCCCCACTAGGAAAAAAAATGGCAATCGGTAGGTTTTGAGTCACCAGTCAAGTACAAGTCATTGGAGGGAAAAACCTGAGTTGAGTCCAAGTTGAATTTGTGGTAGGACTTAAGTCCGACTTGACAGCAAGCCCCGCAACTCAATTCCCTGTCCCTGGTAACGAGATACGCTACCCTAGAACATCTGCTAGCGGAAAAGTCAAGCAGGACACAGATGGAGGGATTTGACTCAACAGGAATTTCATTAATATGGGGGACAGTTTGTCCACCGACACCGTCTCTAATCCAAAAGGCCACCGGCGTTGCAAAACTCTGCTGGAACTCCCACAAAGGATCACGCTGGGGGCCCCCGAGTGTGAGGATGCATACCTGCCAGGACCCTGTCGGTGCCCCCTTCTGCATGCGCACATTGCACTCCCGGGCCCCATGAACATTGCAGGTGGATGCCACCGTGCTATCCAGGCCTCCAAAATGTGAGCTTTGTGAGTCCCAGGTGACATTGTTACCTGTAACAAGTCACCCTGCTCAGGACGTTTCACTCCAAAAGTCATGAAGAGGAGCAGGAATGACGTCCCTCCATCAGCATAATGAGGAATGCTTTCCAGTTACTTCAAAATTTACTTTTGCTCCTCTTGAGGTGGGCTCCAGGAGTTTCAGGTGCTCGTACCTGATGCCAAGCTTGGCAGACTTCCTAAAGCATTCCTAAAGCTAAAGTACTAGTTTAAGTGAGGGCTTCTTGTTTTGATTCACAGGGAACTGGAGACCCCTTTTTGATCAACCCCAGAACATTGAAATGTTTTGCAACTGAACCCTCTGGTTCCCGAACAAGGAAATAATCCATGTTAAGTTCACCAAAGTTGGACTGGACAAAGAAGCGTTGGTGGGGCAGACGGATTGACAAGGAGAAGCCGTTGACATCTTTTAAATCAATCTCCCTACCAGGAAATCTCTTATATATTTGTTTAAGATTTTGTGTGTGTTTTTTTTTTAAAATCACAAATGTATTGTCATTCAGATTGAGAAGAAGAGGATCATTCCTAGGGCCAAAAAATGAAAACCCTGACCCTGGAGGAACCACAAGCTCTCCGAAAGGAGATGTTTAAGGAGTCGTGTCTTGGAAGTGCCGAAACCCAGCCCATCCAGACCTGCTAGTTTTTCCTTCGGTGTAATGGGATCATTTATGATATTTTGTGAACACAGCCATGCAAGTCTCAAGGGCTCAGCTGAACATTACAAAGGCTAGCATTGATTTGACTCTCACCCTACATGCCCCTTCTACATGTACACACACACACACACACAAAGTGCATGCTTTGTGACCTTAATATGCAGCAACTGTGAGTGCCATGACAAATCCTGTTATTTAATTTGTGGGGTTTATCGTTTGTTAATTAAAAATCTCCACTCCACCCCCTCCACCCCCCACTGACAGCACTCAAAAAACATGCAGTGACTTAACACAAATCCAAAACGAGTTTAGAAAATGAATCCAGTCCAGTGGCATGTCCTATAAGCTACCAGCGAAAATATTCAAACAGCGCACAATGTTTAGGTACAAAGAGGGAATGAAAAGGGGCCAATGAAGAGGCCAGAGAAGGCTTTCCACTCCATTTATTTATTTTTTTTATCTTGCACATGGGGAGGGAAGGGGCAGAGCAGGTTGGAATTAAAACTCGGGGGGGCAGAGGGGGAGGCTCCTAGCCCATGCTTTTGTAAACAACAGTGTTGGAATGTAACACGGCTGTTTTTGAGCATCGGGAGCTGATCCTCCCTCCCACCCAGGCAGGAAGGGAAGCGGGGAAAAAAAATATAAATTAATCTTTCATGATGACAAACTTGGCTGGGCGCTGACTGTACATACTGTACCCGCAAAAGCAGGCAGGCAGCCAGCCTGCGCCTGGCGCAGAGCCAAAGCTACAACCACAAACAGAGGCAGCGTGCGCCAGAAGAGGGGAGGCCGGAGAGAGAGAAAACACAGCTGAGTGGCAGAGCACGCTTTCCACGAGGCCGGCCACTGGACTCCGCTCCGACAAGGGCCCCGGGAGGCTGTGAGGAAATCGCCGATGCTTCCCGAACAACTCGCTCCAGATACATTTTTTTTCAACTCCTGTTGTTGCACCGTTAAAACACTCCCCCCACCGCCACTGTTTCTGTTCATCGATTCTGCACCCTGCATGCCCCCATACCCAGGAATACGGATCTGTACCCTGCAGAGCTGGCTCTCTTCGTTGACTCAAGGGAAAAATTAGCACAGAGGACATTATCTCGGAGGAAAGAAAAGTTTCAATTTTTGGACTACGACTCCCAGCGACCTTTTGGAGGAATTGCTGCAGCCGCCATGGCCACTCCGGTGCTGGCTCAGGGATTTTGGAGATGGGCATCCAGAAAAGTAACATTTTGTCACTCGGAGGGCTTTGCGGCTGGTTGACTGCAGACTCGCTAGGCGCCATCGTCCTTTCGATCTCGGGGTCACCGCATTTGCAGGATAGCGGACGAGGCTGGTCCAGCTGACCAAAGGGTTCTGGGAGTCATTGTGAAGAACACCAAATACCTCAAAGGGCGCCCAAGCTGGGGTGCCACCACTGAGGAAGCCCTGCCGTGCAGAGGATGGCCAGAGAGGCCAGCCCGCTCTTGGGCTCCGCAAGCAGAGCTGAACCAGAGCATCTCGAATCTCCCGAGGTTTGGCACTGGATCTAATACTGTCTCGACCACTTGGGACCCAGTAGATTTTATGTCTAGATGGGACCGAATGCGTAAATCCTTGGCTTCCCCAAAATTAAAGCTTTTTAAAAAGAAGGTAGCAGGCAGATTCTAAATTCCTGGTCAAAGGAATGCAGCAGTAAGTTTGCCAATGGGGGAGACAGAGGGAAAGGTATCCCGAACATACCTGAATGAGCCAGTAAGTGCATCCGAAGGCGTAGGCTGTCGAGGAAGCGTTTCCCACACAATTCACACCCATAAGTCTTCATCCCGCTGTGCAGGTTCCTGGAGGAAAGAGAGAAGATAGAAAAGTGAGTCCTCATGAGGTCTGGGTAGCCAGGGACGGCTAGCAGGCAGCTGGGGCACCGGGGAAGCGCTCAGGTATGAGTATCCAGTGGGGCATCAGGACTGTTTTGTGAAAATCTGCCTTTCTCCCTGGAGGATGTCAACAACATAATCCATGCAGGAAGATCTACAGAAGGTGAAGCACCCAAAATCAGAATTTAGAGAGTACCTTTTCCTTGTATTCTCGAAGGCTTTCACGGCCAGGATCTGATGGTTGTTGTAGGTTTTTCGGGCTGTTTGGCCATGTTCTGAAGGTTGTTCTCCCTAACCCAATCTCCTGAAAAGGACAAACGCTGATCCCACAGCTATAAATACTCAATTATCCCACAAACTGCACCACAGCACAGGCAGAGTTCTGACTCCTGTCCTCTGAAGATGCCGGCCACAGAGACTGGTGAAACTTTAAGAAGAACAACCTTCAGAACACGGCCAAACAGCCCGAAAAACCTACAACAACTAACTTTTCCTTGTTCTCGTTGTGTGGGGTGCGTTTGTTTGCTTGCTTTTGGAATTCGTTGCTGTTGTTTATTAAAAGGTAACTAACAGGTTGAACTACTTCTGATCTTGTTCATTGCTTTGTTTTAAAAAGAACTGATGAGAAAACAGCAAAACTCTTGAAAAACGCCTCTCATAGCCCTTCCAAAGTGCCTGAAAGGACCCTTTGAACTAACTTCAAACAGTAACAAAAATCTACTACACAATCAACTTGACTCTCTCTCCATCCATAACTTTTCAAATGTAACTCTGTTACATTCTCTTTCAGTGCCCCTGCTTTAAGAGAAGCTGCAGAAGCAGAAGAAACAAGACGATTCTTGCCAAGGAGAAAACACCAAAGAAACAACATTTTTTTTGGTACTACTTGTGGGCTGGGAGTTTGAACAGACCTGCACCCAAAAGCGGGCTGAAGCCCCCACTGACGGCCAAACTTGGCCCAATTCAAACTGATCTTCATACGCTCTGGATCAGAGTAATGGCCAGATATGGTTTTGGGGGGGGGGAGGGAGAGAAACAAAGTAAATTTACACATGGATTCATGTTCAGAGGAGAGATTACATTGAATGGGCTCAAAACATCATCAGCCTAGTCTCCATTTTAAAGCAAATTTCAAAGGTCCCCAGTATGCAACACCAGAAGCTAGTTATCTGCATTTTAACAGCATTTGCTCACTTCTTTATCCTCTACCGTGTCTCTCGGGTTCACATGCATCCCTGCAAAAATGAGCGGGTCACAGCCATTTTGCCTTTTCAACACAAGTCAATGAGAATTAGCAAACCAACTCAAGTCTATGGTACAAATCAAATTCCAATGGGGAAGAATGCACTCTGGAACAAACCAGGATCCATTCCAGAGACCTGAACTGGAATTGGGCGGGTCTGTAAACAGTCTTCCTTTTCACTGTTACTGGCTTCTCTGGAAGCGAACACAGGAGCAAGGGAGATTTTGAACATGGAAGCATGTCCTCACATATCCCGCTAGCAAAGCTGGCTGGGTCTGAGTTCAAACCTGCAGACAATGACACATACATTTATTTCCTACTCTGTGCAGCCCAGCCTCCACTGGGCTCTGGTCAAACGGGAGCGATTAAGAGCCAGAGACCAGGAGGAGGAAGAATAAGTTCTCATGCTGGAAGTTGAAATGTGCTTCCCAATTTGGGGACGTCCCACCTTTCGGGAGAGCTGACAAAGATAGCCAAGATAAGGCAAGAGTCATAGAGCGCTTTGCCCGTTTATGAAGCCCTGGAGAAATGACTGGCGAGGAGAAAACCACAATCCGTGAGGCTGGAGGAGGGCAGCGCGGAGCAAATGGAATGACCGGAAGGGAGAAAAGTAAGACGACGAGGCTCTGAATCAACACCCTGCAAGATTTACTTTCCTGCTTCCGTCTCTACTACTAACCCTGGGCTGTGAATCTAGACACTTCCCAAGCAAAGTGATGAAAGGCACCCGTCCGGAGCCTCCCCGGTCAGAAGGGCATGCCATCTCCTTTCGAAAGCAGCCTCTCACTCAAGAGTGAATTGGTGGCTTCTGGGGCCATTTGTCAGATCCAAAGGATATTTCACAGACTTTGACTAGACCCCACGATGGGCAGTGGCGACCTGCCAAAGAAAGGGGAAGTCAAAAATAGCCAACTTTATCACACACACACCCATCCAGACACACACCCCGTGATGTCCAAGGTCCACAACACAGAACATGTTCAGCCCCCACCCAACTAGCCCCTCTAAGCCAGGCAGACCACATGGCCGGGACCCCATCAACCTTCACTCCGCATCAAACAGACTCAAGGGGCCGTAAACCTTCGGGAGCACAGATGGGTTCCGGCTAGAGAGAGGAGAGGTGGCATTCTCCTGTTGAAGTCGCCCAGAGATGAACCCAGTTCTCTCCAGATGAAAAAAAAAAAAAGGATGGAAATGGGCTCACGTCTCAGGCCAGTCTAGGAAAGGGCTTCAGAAATGAGTGGCCAGGTTAGGGATGTAAACCCTCCTTGTCTTATCCTTGTTGGACAATTGCAAAGTGCCAGTTGTTGTTGTTATGCGTTGTCAAGTCGCCCTACGAATGAGCCCTCTCCAAAATGTCCTGTCTGCCTTCATTTGTTCTGCCCAGTTCCTAAAAATTTGAGCCTGTGGCTTCCTTTAGAGAGTCCACCCGGCTCATATTTGGTCTTAAGTGCCAAGTCCACCCTGCTCTCTCTCTCTCTCTCTCTCTCTCTCTCTCAGATACGTACATGGACGCACCCCTTTCCTTCCAAAAAGCCACACCCAAATTGCAGGTTCCATTGTCAGCGGGCTGGCCCTCCATGGGCCTAACTCTTCCCCCCCCACTCCCGCCCCCCCAGACGGGAGTGTGGTGGATCTTTGCACCTCTCCCTTTACTGCTTTCCTCGCTCAGAGCAAAACAAATACAGCACCAGGAGTGGGAAATCAAACGGGTTGAAATCCTGAAGCGTCTTGTAATTATATAGACAAAAGTGTGTGTGTGTGGCATGAATGTGTAATTTGTACGAGGATGTGAGAAGCAGGCGCGTTCTGTTAATGTGGAGACGGCGGTAGAAAAAGTAGATCCGGAGAGAAGATCAGGTAAATTTGCAATCGACTTTCAAGCAAACTTTTTTTTCCTCAATCAACAAGGGGGGCAGATAACAGAGCCTCAAAATCCTGCGATTCTAGTCCTCACTGTGTGGTTCACTGGGGTGAATTTCTTTCGGTTACACTGCCTAAAATTCCCTCCTCCTTTCGGCTCATTCGTTTTTCCCAGTTCTTCGTCCATCAGCTCCTCCCCTTTCAACTCCTCCCGCCATGGTCATCCACACCTACCCTTCGCCTTCTCTCACCCACCTCAGACCCCATTTCCCCCAAAATTACATGTCCCTCACACCCATTCAGTGAGGAAATGACCTTGTGCCGTAGCCAGAGAACAGCTCGGTGCAAAACTCAGCGCAACCCTGCGCAACCACAGTTGTGTTTCGGCACAAAGGAGAGTGAGCGTGAGATGCCCGCCAATGGACCAACAGGACAACACAGCCTTGGCATGATGTCACATCAAGCTAAGGGGTGGGGAAGGTGGCTTCCTGACGATTTCCTTACGAGGAGACGCCATCCTCTGCTACATGGAAAGGTAAATGTTCTCCTTGACAATTTTGTCCAGTCGTGTCCGACTCTATTCGGCAGTGCTCATCCCCGTTTCCAACCCATAGAGCAAGGGTTTTGTCCGAAGACAATCTTCCGTGGTCACGTGGCCAGTGTGACTAGACACGGAACGCCGTTTACCTTCCCACCGAGATGGTACCTATTATCTACTCGAATTTTTGCATTTTGCATGCTTTCAAACTGCTAGGTTGGCGGGAGCTGGGACAAGCGATGGGAGCTCCCTCTGTCGCATGGATTCAATCTTATGACAGCTGGTCTTCTGACATTGCAGCACAGAGGCTTCTGCGGTTTAAACCGCAGCGGAAAATGCTGGGGTGGACTGCAGAGAAGGCATCTACTGCTACAGTGATGATAAAAAATAATTTACATAATATAATAGAATTTGGAGGGGTGTGTGGATGCCACCCCTTTTCTGAGGCTGTAACAAGGGTTTTAGGCAGAGCTGTCCACTTCCTGGGGGTCTAGCCCTCCGTTTTGGTCCTTAACGCCGGGAAGGGCGCACACGTGAGCTTTTGAAGCGAACCACCACCCGGCAAAGTGTTTGAAGGTAAGCCGCCTTCTTTGCCGCCTGCGTCCCCTCCCTCTCCCACCCTCCACCCACCCACTCCCCAATGAAGCGTTTGAACAGGGTGTCAGAAATGACAAAGGAACACATTAATCTTACTACACCTAACAGCTCACCTAGAGATCGACAAGGCAATCAAACGAACAGGCTGGGCCGACCATTGCCATCCGTTACATAACCAAACCATTGCCTTTTGCTTTTCCTTCCTTCTTTTCTTTTCTTTATTTTATTATTATTTTTTTTTAAATAACAGCTCCGGCTCTCGGCAAGTAATTTATTTGAAATATCTCTATCAACAAATTTCAGCAGGACAAAAGTTTTCCATTTGGCACCTGCTTATAAGGCGATGCTATCGCTGGCCAATCTCTTGCTGTTTCTTTCAGCGAGGTCTTAAAGCACTTTATCTCCCAGGCTCCTGGTAGCAAAATATGATTGAAATGTTCTATTTATGCTCACTGGATTAAGGCAAAGGGGAAGGGGGGGGGGCGGCGAGAGAGAAAAAAAACTCAAGCAGATGTAAGCAAGGTATTATAGCTGCTCGCACTGTTAAGATCTGAAAGAGGGAGATCAATAGACAAACCTGTCATTTGGCACTAAAGTTTTGCTTTGAAGAAGGCGGGGAGGGACGGCCCAAAACAACAAGAATAACAACAATAACAACAAATTTCAAAGGATGCAGACATTGATTCTCAATTATGTTCCCTAAAATGCAGAGCACAGAAAGATGAA